GAAGAAAATCCATTATGCAGGAATTCCATAGAGTTTTCTGTATCTTTGTTCATTTACCTTTTTATATGAAAAAAAAAGGATCACCATCGCAATTACCGAAATGAACTCACAATTTGGCTGTAGAGGTGTTTGAGTCGAACGCATTGTTCATGAGCAGAGAGTTTTGATTCAACGACAGATCCAATAACGCTGAGAATAACCAACAGAACTATAGTCGACATGTCTAAGGCGATGGACTGTAATGACGGAGGATTTGTTCATTTTCAACGACGAAAGATGAAAACGCTCGGAGAAAAAAAGAAGAGAGCAAAGTACAAAACTAAAGGCTATTGACTAGAGAAGTAGGGAAATGAAAAGTTGGAGAAATGAAGAGCGAAGGAGGTGTAGAGTGTCAGTGAGAGCTTCTGTTTCTGAAGGCTTTTCTCCATCTCTTCGAGAAGTTGCCGTTAGGTAGAACTATGCCAGTCTCAAAGTCAGAGTACCGTATATGGGAGCGACGCCTTCTATTGGAGGCCTCGGTAAGTAAGAGGAAAAACAGGTGAAAGGTAGGCGAGGAAACAAAAGACGAAGATTTTTCTACCACTGTGCCAAGTCACTAACACACCGTTGTCTCAAAGGGAAAGATGCCAACTGAGTGACCCGAGGAGACTATCACCAACTGTCATAAGTCTCCGCCCATGAGCTTAGAGGTGCAACTTTGTTTGAGGTAAGCCTATGAATAGAATCAATTAAAAGGTGATTAAACAAGTAGGTAAGGGTCTTAGTTATAGTTGATTGGTGACTAATCGAGTAATTCGATAGAATTTCATACACGTCAGCAATTACGCCCGGACTGAAATGATCTCGGAGGAACATGGGGCGGTGTCCTACCAAGTAGCGTTTTACCACAAGCATGGCTGGGGATCGTATCTCAGCTTATCTTCTGCTTAGACCAACCGAGCCCCTCATTCCTTTGAGGTCGGTTAATTGAATACCGGAGGATAGAACCGCTGATTTCTATTGCGAAAGGCTCATTTAACTTGAAGGCACGGTTCACGATAAAAATGGTTTCTGAGCTCCCCTCCTAGGAATACCCAGTGGCCCTTAAGAGTAACTAGAAGGATACTGTCGACTCCCAAAACTCGACAGCTAGGGTACAGTCGGGGTCCCGTTACCGGATCGCCCAGATGAGGCTATACAGATTGCAATATTCGTTCTAGGAACCACACCCAAGCAGATGATCGCCGGGTAATGGGACGGTTTTTCTCCTATTCCTTTATTTCTTTTATCTTTTTGCTGCTGCGATCCCTTAATCAATTTTCTACCTCGAGAGGCTGAAAAGGTGGGCTATGTCTGCTGTTGCTAGGGTTTTGTGCTAACTTATGCTCATAAGTGAATGAAAATTGCTTACCGTAATCAGCCATTCGAACCAGAACCCACACGTACGCAATGTCACACAGCATAGCTCGTTCAAACGCCCCATTCTTCTCCATTTTTCGGGTCTCATTCTCGTTTTTTTCCCTTTTTAACGACTTTTTGAAGCATTTTTATCACTTTGGAAACACCGATTCACGCAGTTTCTCTACCTTCATCGCACTACTTTCCATATTATCTTCCACTTTTCGTCATGATCTGGATTACCCGAAATCAACGAGAACTGTGCCTTCAATGTATAGGCTTCATATGCGCTCAAGCGCCCTTACAGATCTTTGAAAGTTTCAAATCCCCGGCGTACTTCTTAAACGACACTGATTATCGTCGAAAGCATTAATCTTATAATACTTCTTGAGTCCTAACTACCTGTAAATAGTTCAGAATAGCCCTCAGTAATCAAATGAGTAACCAAAAGTGCAAGTTTGTGATCTTTTAAAGAAATGTTGCTAATGCTCAATTAGCAATGCCTATATTTGACTTGCTCAGTGATATCGAACAGTGATCTTTGTTATTTGGAATTCTCGAGAGATTAATTATTTTCTCGTTTCAGTTTTTATTGAACCTGTCACCAAATGCTTTATCGCCACCCAAGTGTTTTTAGCCAGGAAGGAGGAATTCACCTGTCTAACCGGTGTATGGTAGTGAGTAACAGACTAGTCTGAACAAATAATAATACTCAGTTACGTAGGCAAAATTTTCACCCGTACCGATGACTGAATTGTGACTTGTAACTGAATTCAAAAATTGGATTTTTCATTTCAAATTTATTCATTCATTGGATTCAAAATTTTAATTGGAAAAATCAGACCTTTGATGAAAATGTTTGTCTGTCAATGGCTCATTCCAGATTGGTCATATGAATAGTCTGGATAATTCAGGATTAGCCGTTTTGAACATTCAATTGTTTACTACCTCACGGACGCGTTGTTTAAAAAGAGCATTGATACATTAGTAGCACTGAATGGAGGTCGAATGCGTGGCGCATCCCGGAAGAAACTGACGTCGCCGTGGGGTTTGTTTTTTTTTTCGAAATTCGTCAGAATTAAGTCCTCCTGAAGTTCCCTTGGATTATAGCTCAATGGTTTATTACGTGGAATGATCATGGATGAAGATTTTCGATCACATACGATTGAAGGGGCGTGTGGAATTTGACACTGCCTTTAATGGGCAACATATGTATTTAGGCCGCGTGACGTGTGACGCTCTAGGAAACACTCGGACCTATATTATCAGAAGCTCCTCAACAAAGTTGAACATTCTCTGGCATAGACAGGCAACTTACATCCAGTCAGCACAAAGTGTCGTTGACGGGGAGTAAAACCACCAAGGGATCCTTCTGATCGAAGCTTCCAAATAGACCAAACTCTCGAAACTGTCCTTGATTTCAATTTCAGGCTCATATTAATTATACTACTATGAACAGACCCACCAAGATTTTTCCTGCCCTGTCGTTTTTCCCTTCCTACCGACCCCTCGTTGTGTCTGTAATTTCAGCAGAGGTACAGGAAATTCTACCGTCGCCATCGCTTGCGCAATACAACGAATCACATTCCCCCCAGCCTCCTATACCCACTCCCTCGGCCCTTCCCTTCTGACACAGTGCCGCATGGATAACACAAGTAATACAGTGCCGTCAGTTTCAATGGCAATGGCTGCTTTCATAGTCCGCCGGCCGGCGTGCCGGCGGAGGCAGGGCTAGGGGGGAGGAGGGAGGCAGACAGATAGGCAAACAGTCCACGCCCCTTCGAGGGGTTGAAAACAAGCAACCTTCGGAGGGGCGTGGACTGTTTGCCTTAAATTGTCTGCCTCCCTCCTCCGCCCTAGCAGTG